AACAGAAAGAATAAAACCAGATTTGGTATCTTAATGTAGTTTTTTGCATAAGGGTTTTTACACATGCATTTTATATATGGTTAAAAACTGGTTATTGCAGTTCTTACTTAACATAAAAACTACAATAACTCATTGTATTCAAGTACTCATGAGTATGACAGACAGTCAAAGTTCAATCAGGTCCCACCACTAACTCACATTAGGGGAAACTACTTTGAATGTTGGTTTATTCTCCTGTAAAGTGTGAATAACTGATACAAGCATCTACCAGTAAATGGAGACAATCCATTTACTGAGAACAGAGCACAGCATATAATATTTGCTCAATGAAAGTAAGCTGGTACCAGGTTTGCATGTCTATAGTACAGATTTTCAACTGTTCAAATACTGCACATCAATGTGCTTACAGTTATTTGTACATGTTGAGGGATATGCTATTTTCTGATTCAAATTCCCCCAGTGGCTTCCTATTCTATCTAGAATACAATTCAAAGTCCTTCTTTTGGCCCTACATAATCCTGTTTCTGGTAATTTCTCAGATCTGATTCCAAGTATAGATGTCTTTGTATCTGCTATTCCCTCTGTTTCAAATACCTTCTATAAGACTACCTTCTTCATTTGGTTTTTCGTTCAAATGTCACTACAAACAGATCTTTCCCAATGACTTCATCTAAAAGAGAGCTTTCTGTCTTACCTTCCACCTGCTCTTTATCTTCTTATTTATTTTACTTTTATTTATGCTTATAATTACCACTGAAATGTAGAAGATACACTCCCTGGCCCCATAGAGCTTACATTCTAGTGGAAATAACACATTACTTGGAGTTCACTGAAGAGTTTGCAGACTGCTTGACCTTGGAAATAGGGTCTCTTAGTTGACTAGAAGATGGTGATTGAAGAAAGATGTGGACAGCTAAGTATGGTAGCATACACCTGTAATCCTACCACTTGGGAAGCTAAGTGGGAAGGAAGTATTACAAGTTTGGAGCTGGCCTAGTCTACACAATGAATTTTACAGCCAATGTAAACCCTGTGTCAGAAAACAAACACTAACCAGAAAAAAAAAAAGGAAAAAAGAAAAAAGAATCAAAAATATCTTGGGCTATCTTAGACCCTTTTCGTATGTGTGTGTGTGTGTATGTGTGTGTTACTGGGGCTTGAACCCAGAGTCTTCACCTTGACCACTCCACCAGCCCTATTTTTGTGAAGGGTTCTTCGAGGTAGGGTCTTGCAAAGTATTTGCTCCAGCTGGCTTTGAACTGGGATCCTCTTGATCTGTGCCTCCTGAGTAGCTAGAATCACAGGCTTGAACCACCGGTGCCCGGCTGTCTTAGACCCTTCAATAGCAATTTTCCTCATCTTCTGTATCTGACCTAACATTCTTGTAACTAAGAAATAAACTTCTTGGAATGTATCATTAAGCTTAACAGACCTCTAGATTCCCCCAAACACTACAGCTAAGAATGCAAAGATAACAACTGACCTGGGTATGGTGGTACTCTCTTGCATGCCAGCACTTAAGAGGCTGAGGCAGAAGGATCACGAGTTTGAAGCCAGCATGGACAACACAATGAGACTCTACCTCATAAACAAGAGAGAAAGACAGAGAGAGAGAGAGAGAGAGAGAGAGAGAAGAGAGAGAAACCTCTGAAACCTACAAGAGATTTCCTTGCTTTGCTGTAGCCCTTGCCCCCTGATGACTTCCCAAAAGTGTATTGATTTCTTGCAACCCAATGAGCTCTTGTCCTAGAAACTGAACTGGAGGTGACTAGAGATGCACAAAGGACAAAAGATAGAGGACAAACATGCAGACAGCTGGGGACAGGTATGCTGGGTGCTCGGATGGAGATATGCAACAGCCTTGTTACTTCTTTTTTAATTTTCTTCACCTCTTTTACTTTGCTTCCTTTCTCTATTCTTTAAAACCTCACTTATTTTCTATTCTTTAAAGTCTCAGTCCTTGGACTCACACTGTTCCATGTTTTCTTTAGTCTCTCTTAAAATCTCAGTCCTCAGAGTTGCACTGTCCCATGTTTCCCTTGATCTCTAGAATAACTCCTAAAGTCTCAGTCCTTAGACTCGCAGACGTACAACAGCCGGCGGCAGCAGCAGCAGCAGCCTGAAAAGCAGCCAACCGTGTCCTCCTTCAGCAAGTCTTTTATATACAGGGGCAAACAAGGAGGTAGAGCAACAGTTCTGGGTGGTGGGGGGACCCTGTGATCGCTACTCTCTGAACATAAACCTCTTAGGGTTTTGCCCTCACCCCTTCTGTGGCTGGAGCCATGCTAACAGTCTGCAGATCACTGGGCATAACTGTGCTTATGTCAAGTTCTCATAGGCTCCTCATAATCTATTCTCCACACTGACTTATAATTTTCTTTTACTCTGTGAGTATAAAAGTTCATGTCACCTCTTTTATGGCAGAACATGTCCTTGTGGGTAACTTGAATCCAGGTCCCTGGGCCAGGGCCACTTATGTTTGGCTCAGAACAGGCTGTTTCCTTATTTCCTTTCAGAATTATTTTACATGAATACATATATATGTATTTGATCTTTTTAAAAAAATCTGACACCTCCAACTAGAATGTAAGTTCTGTGAGGCCAGGGAGAGTATCTTATATATACCCATATCTTAAGTCTCTAAGCCATGGTCTGCATTTAGAAGAATCTGAACAAATAGTCAGACAACTGAATTAGATGACTGAAAGGATACAAATGTGCAAAACATGCAGTCTCTCCCCTTTGGGAGCTTATAATCATGTACGGAAGAAGAAACACAACAATTACAATAGATTATTGCTTGGTCACTTTAAATTTTGAAACTATTGTTAAAATGAGTGGTACGTTTTTTATTATATTCATCTAAGAATTAATTGTTAGATTTTTAAAGCTCTTTGTGTACACTCACTGAATTGAGAATAAAAATAAAAAGTGTTAATTGAGTCTGGTTTGTTGGTCATTGGTAGTCAAACCACGTTTTATGAATCAGAATGCACACATGTAAGTTCACTACAAAAGGTGACTACTAGACATACGGTTATATAAATATGCTAGCTGATGCTAATGTGCAGTTTTAATTCAGCTGTTTGGTCTTTCTATTCATTGTGTTAAATAAAAATTACAAGAGGCCATAATTTTGGACCAGGCTCCTGTACTGTATTTTAGACCAGACTAAAAACTCAAAATGGAGTCACTTAGGCTCAAGTTCAGTATCTTCCAACTAAAACTAAGTGATTATCTGACCTTCTGAGAAACAGAGAGAGATAACAGTTTCCTAAAGAGGGCAGTTTCAATCAGCATGATAATGAAGCTCCCTCTGCTTTAATCCTGATTAAAAAAAAAAAGTAACCTGCTGTTAACCAACCAGTTTTTCTATTGTGCTTCCCTGTCCCTGCCTTACAAGGAAAGTAACTGTGAAATGACAACTCACTTGTTTTTTTTTTCTTGCTTGCTCTCTTCAGCTCTTCTCTGCTTACAAAAACCAAACTCTTCCACTCAGCTCATTGGAGCATTTATTCTATTTAATAGAAGGAAGTGTTGCAAAATAAAGCCAATCAAGATCTTTAAATGTGTTCTAATTTTTTTTAAAGTAATTTCATCATTTAAATAGGTGAATGCAAAGCCATGGGCCACAACCTTGACCAGGAAACCACAGGGTACTTTTGCCACTGTGAAAGATAGAAGGGAGAAGAAAGAGAAGGAAGTGGTGCTGCTAATAGGGGAGGCTCACATTCCGGACCACAATTGGTCACACCTTTCAACCTTCACTTAAGCAAAGGAATGAGAGCTCCTTCCCTGATGCTTTCCAGAAAGGGGAGTAAATAACAAACAAGTGAAACATCAGATTGAGAAGACCCACCTCTTCCATGGGTGGGTCTTTGTACAAAGCCCAGTCCCAACTTTGAGACCAGCTAGATCAATGGAATCACTCTGAACACTTCTCTTCATCAGTAGTGAAAACAAAAATATCAATTCACAGTTTATGGAAGCAACTTATATAAAGAGCCATAGTCCAACTTGTTTTTTAAAACTGTCAAGGCATCCAGCAAAATTACTGTTTACTTACTTTTTTATACCATTAGTGTTAGTTTTCCACAGACCTCACACAAACACAGTATCTTACAGACTTGCACAATTCAGGCTTCATTATTTACTAGGTGTATGGCTTTGAGCATGTTATTTTACCTCTCTTTGCTTTATTTTCCTCATTTATCTATCTCACAGGGATGTTTTGAAGACTAAGACACAAGAAAGCACTTAGCATATTGTCTAATGTGTGCTAAGTATTTAGTGAATGCAATGTATTCATCCATTTTGTACCTAGAATTTGAAACATTCTCTTGATAATCTTTGGCATTGACAAGACCCAAAATTTTGGTCAATGGAATGAGGAAGGAATGACCTACAACTCCTTAAAAGGAAGGGGCTTGTCTTCCAAGCTCTCTTCCCTCAGCCTAGGGTGTGGGCAGGAGAGTAATCACTTCAGAACCAGTGATCACACCCTGGGGAACAGTAGAGCAGAGAAGAAGCTGCTGAGTCCCTGGAGCAGTCACCCTGCCCTTCCCAGACCTCTCACCTGCTACGGACTTAGATGTGTAAGACAAATAAACTTTGGTCTTCTTTAAGCTTGGTTTCTGTAAAAGTGGCCAAATAATATTCTAAAGAATGCTAGCATGTTTTCTCAATTTTAAATCATAAAAGCTCATCCATACTAAGGCATATTGACGTTTGGTCATTCCCTTCTGAATTAGTAATCATTTGTTTGATGTCAAGTCCTTACTAAAGAGGACAACTTGCTCCTGGCCCAAACTATAACCCTTTGTAGTAGCAGGTGGTCTTTGGGGTAAGGCAAAAGACATCTGGACGACAACAGAAATCCAGACTTAGGTGATGACAGCTTCTTAGGGAACGGCTGCTGGGGAAAATAATGGTGTCAGGACACAGGGCACAAATTGGGCTAGATGGAAGGTAAAGGTCTCCACTTCGCAGTGGCAACTTACCAGTCTAAGGTAGTTCTGCAGCATTGGAAGAGGGATCATGGATGTGTAAGTCACACTACTGAGGCAGCCTTCTTGGGGACCTGTGAGAAATGAGTACACAGAAGGACAGAAGGAAAACTGAGTTAAATATAAATGATCAAAATACAACAGAACCTATTGTAAAAGAAATGGTACAACTGTGACTTTTGTAGGCAGTGCTAACATTTGACCAGGAAAGTGCAGGGTACTTTTGCCACTGTGAAAGATTATCACACTTTGTACTATCTGGAATTAAGTACTACTCCTGGCCTCATGAGAGCTCCCCAGATGCAGCTTCTCCAGGGAGGCCCACCTACATCCCAGCAATCACAGCTGGATGTAAAGATTACAGCCTCAGCTCTTTAGCCAGTGTCTGCTGATTGCTGGATTCAATGTTTTATTGTTCACGAGCAAAACTTATCATAGAGAATCCCACTCTTCAGAAAGCTCTAACCTTGATCAATATTACTACACAGGTCTGTAGTTTCCCTTTAGGACTCTCCCCTACACCAAGTTCTGCCGCTCTCTCAAAAAATTATTTGAACACAAAGGAATTTTCTAGGATCAATTCTTTACTTTTTTGTTTTTTGTCAACTGCACTAAGTACAATTCAAACAGTAAAATAAAACTTTTAATTGAGACTGAAGTTTTTAAAGTCCATTCCAAAGTATGGGAAATAAATAAAGTCACTAGCATTTGACAATTCAGGGCTGATAAATTGAATATAAACATCCCAGTTACTTGTAGCTAAACATTAGGTAAGGGAATCAACCTGAGACTCAATTTTGTATTAAAAATGGGAATAAACGGAACTACATATATCTCATGGGTTGCTCTAATAACATGCTATAAATATAATAATAGGTTATAACCAGCCTCAAAAAATAGTAGGTGCTTACTGAAAATTTGCCTGTACCATTATAATAATCATGCCAAGCATACACTGTACTTGATAGTAACAAAAGCCATCTCTCCTTCAACACAGTCTCTGTCACTTTCCTATCAGTATGCCATTTGGCCTCTGGGTGATTTCTAATGAGGGATGCAATAAGAATGGCAGGAATTAATAACCAGGGCAGACATCACCACAGGTGTCAAAACATGGCTTCTGATTTTTCCTCCCCTCAATCAAATGTTTTAGAAAACATCTAATTACCTCATGGTGGGAATCACACATGCATGACTAGAAGACACAGAATAAAAACTTGCAGATTTGGGAACTGGCACTGTGAATCAGGAAGCACACTCTTTAAACCTAACCTTAGTTTGGAACACTGTTACCTGACAAAAGCACAGTGACCTGCTCCGCCTTATTCTTTCTGATGAAATCCCACGGGGACTGGGTGAAGCTCTGACCAGCTGGCCACGGTATATTTCCTAATTCAAAACAAATGAAATAAAATGTCCAGGATAGCTTAAAAGCCACGTTTTTGCAACAGTAAACATAAACTCTCCTCTTGTGAGATCCCTAAGGAAGTAAGAGTTTGTATCATCAAAGGCACATATAGACCATGTAATGGGTTGCACAGGGGGTTAACTAGTTCTCTAAGGAAATTTTGTTGAAAGCCAAAAGGAAAATGTTCAATATACAGACTTCTCAAAAAGAGAAACTCAGAGAAATGTCTAGGGAGTAAGAACACAGCCAAGAAGTCTTAGAGTTAGGCTCTCAAAAGCATAATTAATCATAACCTGAAACGGTTTCACGATCTTTCCAATGGCTGCTTCTTCACAAAGCTCAAACACTTGGGATGTCAGATCCGTTATGATCTGTGTTTGGGTACTTTTCCATGAAATTTTTAGATTCCGAAGAAAAAAGTTCAGGAGCTCAGAATCAGACAAGCTGGACCTTGGATGCACTCTTGCTCAAAAGGAGTCCCACGCTATAAACTTGTCTTATAGGAGAAAGATTAATAATTATTTTTCATCTATTCCCTTCCACAGATCAGTTCTTTCAAATAGCTATCTCAGCATGACCCTAATACTCATACATACTTTACTGCAACTCCTGCTTATCTGCTGGCCTAAAGTTCCTTTAATCTGGTTTATGCTACCAATCCAGCAAAATCACTTATGGATATACACTGACAACAACGTTATAAATGCCAGTTATCAAGCGGCCACAGCCAGGCACTAAACTAATCCAGGCACAAAACTCAATGATCTAAAATGCTATTCTGGTGTGCCCCACCTCTGTGACAAGTATGAACACTAGAGCAATCAGTCTTGGCATCCACTATTCACAGAGGTAAATTTATCTGGTGATGCTAAGTATCCATCTGCCTTCCCCAGTTGCCAGATAAGCCGGATGTGAGCAAATGGAGGGTCATTTCCTTCAAAGTGTTGCTGTCCTAGCTTCACATTTCAGACCCCTGAGCAGAACTACAGTTCGAACAGTACTCTCCTGTGTAGGAAGAATGTGTTCCTGAGAATCATTCATGACTTACTTTCTTTATGCAATCTCTAAATTACATAGTAACAGTTTTATAATAGTAATACCTTTAATAATCATGCTAAATACCCATAAAAAGCTGTCATATCTTGCTCTAAAAACTAATAGTGCTAGATAGTGAACTTGCATATATGAACAAAACAGAATAAAATACTTTCTGATCTAAGATGATATATTAAAAAGTTCATCTTTTGAAGTATGGCTCCAGTGGCTTGCTTAGCAAGCATGAAGACCTGAGTTCAAACTCCAGTATCACCTAAATAAAAAAGTTAATTAATAAAAGCTTGCCTTTCCCTTACACTTAACTATTCTTTTCCTAAATGGTGCAGTTGAAAGTACACAAGCTTTACTATTAGGTAGACAGTGACTTGAATCCTGACTGCTTTGCTCATTAGTTGTATACGTTAGGCAAGTCCTCTTACACCTGTTTAGTTGTACAGTAAGACTTTGGTAAGGACTATTTAGAAAGTACCCAGCACAGACCTTACAAAGGAGGATTCCTATAGATGTTAGTTCTCCAGGGACAACTAACATTTACAGTGTTTACTGTGCTCGCCAGAAAGCAAATCTTATCTTCCTATGTTCTTTGGAGTTTGTTTTGTGTCTCTCAAGTAGAAATCAACAGTTACCTCTCTAACCTAACCTGTGTGAGAACACTGAATACATCTTCATTAAAGCTTTTTTCCAACTCTGGACTTCATTAGGATACTCATCCTGGAGGTAAGGCATGAATGTACGACATCACCTCTGGCACAGCCTGACAATGGATGTGGAGCAGCATTCAGAATTTGTGCATTAGCAAGCAGCTGCAGTGTGGTTAGTTTCTTGCATTTATCTGGAATAGCAAGTGTAATCAAAAAACCTCATCAAAGGCTTTCATGCTCTTTACTCTCTAGCATTATTCTAGGCATAAAAGCATTTTTATATTAACAGGCTACATTATGTAATGGTTACATTATGAGTATTCAAGGTTTTTACCAGCAGCTGCCAATGCAAGCTTTGAATGTGCTTAATCAATGAACTAAGCATCAGGTTATGAAGCCCACAAACATAAATAAACCCAGACATTTAACTTTTCCTTCATGGTAGAACTGCTGATACCTAGTATGATGGATCGTACACTGCTTGCACCGAGGCCAATGATGGAGTCAGTGGTGTTATTAAATGTCATGTCTTCCAGACTCCACCATCCATCAGAAGAGACTGCTTGGAAATGATTTGTCAGAGCTTGACTCACTGCTTTTGAAAAATCATCCCATGATGTCTGTTTGCGGATATTTAAAGTACATATTGTGTTTTCGCATTCAAAGTCCTCAGAACCATCACTGCCTGGTTGAATCTCACCCACAGAAATCCTTAAAGGTATTTTAAGAGCATCTGTTAGAAGAATAAAAAAAGCAGTTTGTTTTTTTTAAACCTTGGAAGAAAAAACAAAACCAGCAAAGGTATTACGTAAAATAAGCAGACATGAACATTTTAAAAATAAATCAAAGGACTGAGCATTATGGTGCACACCTGTAATTCTAACACTTGGGAGGCTGAGCAGAAGGATCAAAAGTTCAAGGTCACCCTGGTCTATATTGTGAGACCCTGTTTAATGACAGTAACAACAACAAAAGTATTAATAAGGACAGCTGCTTACTTCTTTAAATAACATCAAACTGAACCTTCTTATATTAAACTTTGGTTCCTAATCTCTTCACAGTTTCTTTGAGAGTATATTGTATGAACTATTTCTTTCCTTATATCTTTGGCTCTTTTCATTTCATTGACTATTTCTCTTCAGCAAGATTCTTAAGCGGTGAAAAAAAAAAATCTGAGAAAACTAGAGCCCTCCCTTGGCTCTGAAGTCTCTATATTCCCCTGACCGTAACAGATAATCAGGAACAAGCTAGAATAGTGGCCTATCAGTAAGCTCAAGATAATAATCAAAACAGAACTGGGTTTAAGCCTCAGGGTTGACCACTAAGGCTACCTCAAGGACTCATTTAAAAACTCAACACCACCCTCAAATGCTCGATTCCCCTTGGTCTTTGTCATAGCAGATCTTATCATGTCACACATGCTTCTTATGTTTATTGTTCATTTTCTGGCACACATGTACCAGAGTGCCTTTAGCTTATATACTGAGCAAGGAGTAGAAATGCTTGTTGAATAAATGAAGATCAGTGAGCTTCTCTGACATATTCTGTTTCTCTGTATTCACTCTTTTTAGTAAATTTGCACTCATGGCTTCTATTGTAGGCCTTATGGAATCAATCTTCCAATCTAATGCACATCCTGGTTTTTTTCCCTTCTGTTGGATTCTCAAAATCACAAAATCTTACAGAGATGATAAGAAATTATCTATTCTTCTGCTCATAGGCATATGAGTAATTTTTATCCTCTACTGACAGATAGCAAACTGAGGCCAGGGAAGGTTAAGCACTTTGCTGAGACTGTAGAGGCCTCAAAGAAGGTTACTGGGGTACAATGTCCTTGTGCAGAGACATTCCACCATGGCACACTAGCATCTGGTGTTTCACAGGATGTACACCTGCACATCCTGACAGCACGTCCAAGCTGGACATTAACTTGGGTCCCCCATATAGCAATCTTTTATTTCTGAAAGTTTTCTTTAACTCCTGCTGTTGGGCTCTTCCATCCCTCTCCTCATTATGTACCATTTCTCTATCCACCGTCCTAGTCCAACTCTAGGCACCTAACATTCTGTTATCCATCCCTGAATAGACTTTCAGTTAGAATGCCCGTTTTTTATTTCCCTTTCACCTCCCTCCCTTTATTTTTTAGAAAGGGACTCACTATGTAGCCAATGTTGGCCTCAAACTCACTATGTGGCCCAGGCTGGTCTTGAACTCATGATCCTTTTGACTCAACTTCCTGAGTGCTGGGATAATTAAAACTTATTGATGCTTGATCTGTTCCCATATTCTCAACAGGCTGATCTGTCCCTCTCAGAGCTGCCTATGTGGTTCTAAAACACCATTTGAATCACATGCAGAGTCAATAATCTAAATAGCTCTTCATTGCCTGTCATATACAATCAAAACTACACATGGTGGCACATATCTATAATCCCTGCACTTAGCAGGCTGAGACAGGAAGATTGCAAGGCCCAGGCAAGTAAGCCTAGGCCACATAGCAAGAATCCATCTTGCTACTGAAACTAACATTAACCTGCTGGTGACATCTACTGCTCTGTCCCACCCTTTCAATATGCCACCTCTACTTCAGTCAGGCCAATACACTTTTTATCTTTCATATCCTACATATCATAGCTACCTATATATATATTGCTTCTATTTTAAAATGTTTAATATCAAAAAGTGCAGTTTAAATAAATGATAGCAAATTTTATTTCAGCCCACTAGAAAATTTGCCACATTTACTATGTAAGTTTAGGTTCAGTTTTTGCAAAAAGCTAAAATGCTGTAAACATAGCAAAGTATGATAATTATGTACTGCAGAAATGCTATAAAAGGCACTTATAGAGTTAAATGTTTAAGGACCACAAAATTGGATTTTAATGATAAAGCAAGTCTTCTGCCAATCAAACCTCAGATTTAAAGAGAATTTCTATGATTATTTTATCTATGTTAATGTACCCTAACAGTTTGCATATATTCTTCCACACTAGTTTTTTTACTAGATAAAAGAATACAAATCTAGGTATAAAACTAAAGGTAACTTTAACTTTTAAAAATCTGCCTGTCCTGAAGTTGAATTACCAAAATAGCTGGCTGAAGGGGTGATAATCGATACATCACAATATTTTGTATGATCCAGCATTCCATATTCATAAACCTGGAAGTGAACCTTTCATAAAATGTGCTGAGGAGCATTTATTCTCAGTTTAAAGGGACCCAAGAGATCATCAATTATCTACAGAGAGAGGGAGGCAACCAGGTGGCTGGGAGACAACTTCCTAGCCTGAATCATACGATCAGCTGATGCAGAGTTCACAGCTGGGATTTCTCATCCTGGCAGCCTAATTTCTTAAAAAACAATCTAAGCAAGAAAAAGAAGCAATCATTGTTTTTATTGCTCTCCTAGGTCAGTCAGGAAAATGTAAGAAAGTAGTTCTGCAAAGTCATTCTACATGAAAAAAATAATTACCACATTTACAATTAATAAAGTGTTTTGCAAAAGCTAGGGCTCAAAAAAAGTTAAGAGGCTGAGAAAGTTATAGTTGTATTAGTATTTTCCCCATCATCCCAGAGGCCTGGCTTTGAGTATCACTCACTCAGATTCTCCAGCAAATGCTTGCAGTCATCAGTGGCCACATCGTGCACTGTCCGATTGCACTTGTCTCTCTTTTCTGGCTCGAGCCCTCCATGCCTACACAAGATTTCTAGGCAGTTCTGTAATGACAAGAGCACTATTACTTCCAAGTCCCAATGAACCAACTTAAGTGCAAAACCTAAAGGAAAAGCCAATTGCTTGTGGCAAGTCAATCAGGAATTCATATCTAGAGGCTCGATGTAGTAGTATATGTCGATAATCCCAGCACTTGAAAGGGTAAAGGCAAGAGGACTGAGAGTTCGAGACCACCTGGGCTACACAGTAATATCCTGCCTCCAAAAACAAAGGCAGGGGTTGTGGCTCAGTGATAGCACTTGCACATGTCTGATCCCCAGTACTACAAAAACCAAACCAAACCAAACCAAATTCACAGATAGAAATCTTATTTCAATTCTACCTACCCAAATATACAGATTGATTACAGATGTATCTAAATGTCTAGAAATGCAAAGCAAACAGTGCTTCATTCATGTGATTTTTATTTTCTCCTTGCTGGGGATGGAACCCAGAACCTTACCACTGAGCTATACCCCAGCCTAAATAGTGCTTCATTTAAATGAGAATCATTGCTCTCAGAAAAGTCTCCTAGGTTTCAAGAAATAAAAAATAACTTACTGCTTACTGGGTTTGCAGAGTGAAATTAAGGATGAAGTTGACATGAGCAGGGGGTGTCCCTTCATGGTAATTTGGGAATATAAAGCAAAAAGACTTTTGCTACAACTGGATGCTCCTTGCTGCCCCCTAATAAGGTAAGTGCAGGCTCCAATTTCAGCAATTCTGTCCTGAGTCCTCATAAGTACATATGTATATTTGAGACCTTCTGCTATCCTATTTTTTATTTAAAAAACATGAACACTATATTGACTGAATTTTTGAAAAACATTCCCAGTAGATACTGAAGTCATGTTCCTTTTCCAGCTTTTTCTTCTATTGGGTTGCTTATGGAAATCTCCAAAAAATATCAAGAACTATGAAGGGTCTTAGTTTTCCATAAACTTTTTAAGTGCAGAATAAAAGCATGCATCATTTATGTATATGTATATACATACATGTGTATACATACATTTTAAAATAGGCAATTGCATAGCAGGATATTACATAAGGTCATCTACCAAGGAACTCTGCTATATACTCTTTTCCCATTTCATATTTACTACTTTCCTGTAAAAATAAACAGAAAACTGAATAGGCCAGAAACAATGAAAAGGAACTAACAACCAGAACAGGTAATGCCCTTCCTATCCTTCTCAAACACATGTGTGCACATACACATGTACAGAACTGACTTGCTCTTCTGATACACACTAAGCCAGGCAGTCTGCAAAGCTTTCTATAATCTTGCTGTAAAACACTACCTTTTCTGTTTTGTAAAATACATCACCCTCTTTTTTTTTTTTTTCTTTCCTTTGGTGGTACTGGGGTTTGAATTTAGGGCCTCATACTTGGCAAGTGTTCTACCACTTGAACCTTGTCCCTATCTCTTTTTGCTTTACTTATTATTCAGATAGGGTCTCACATTTTTGCCCAGGGCCAGCCTCAGATGGCAATACTCCTAACTATACCTATGTCATTGGATTACAGGCATGAGCCACTGTACCTAGCACATTTTTCCCTAATATAAAATGTTCTTTGCTTTTCTGAATAGGACCACGATTACTCAGAAAATAAGAATAAAAACTGAAAAATGTGATTGTATCAAATTATAAAGCTTCTGCAAAGGAAACAACTACCAGAACCAAAAGAAAACCTACAGAATGGAGAAAATCTACGGCAGTTACTTATTGGATAAAGGATTAATATCCAGAATATATAAAGAGCTCCAAAAATTAAATGCCAAAAAAAAATCTAATTAGCAAATGGGTGAATGAATTGAACAATTTTCAAAAGAAGAAGTACAAAGGGCTGGCAAATACATGAAAAAATATTCCACATCCTTACTCATGAAGGAATACAAATCAAAATATTGGTGTGATTACAACTCACCCTAGACTGATTGGCAGACATCAAAAGAAACAACAAATACTGGTAAAGATGTAGGTGAGGGAAAACAGACCCTATATACCTGTTGGTGGGAATATAACTTAGTGCAGCCACTATGGAAATCAATATGGAGGTTCCTTACAAAACTAAAGATTCAACTATCATATGATTCTGCTATATCACTCCTGAGCAAATACCTGAAGGAAAGTAGCTCAACATACAGCTGAGATGCTTCCACACCTGTATTTATAGCAGCACTATTTACAACAACCAAATTATGGAATCAGCTTAGGTACCATCAACCTATGAATGAATAAAGACATTTGGCATATATGCCCAATAGAATATTATTCAGCCATAGACAAGAATGAAAATATGTAATTTTCAGGAAAATGCATGGAACTGTAGATCACCTTGTAAAGCAAAATAAGCCAGACTGAGAAATACAAATATTATATGTTCTCTCTCATATGCAAAATCTAGTCCTTAACAATGAATGACAGGAATTAAAAACAGTTCTGTTTGAGGGCAGATACCAACCAGCAGGAGGGGTAGGGAAGAAAGGAGAGGATGAAAGAGGGAGTGAATATGGTTCAAGTATTTTATACACATGCATGAAAACAGAATAATGAAACCTGTTGGAACCAATGAAATTGTTTTAAGAAGTGGGGAAGGGGAGACGAGGGAGAATGATAGAGGAGATGAATTTGATTTGGGTATGTATGGAAATATGCCAATTAAACCTCTTTGCATAACAAATGTATGCTAATAAAAATAAAAAATGTATTAGGACTTTCTCATATATTTGATGCAGGAATTAAGCAAGAATAAGGAATCAGATTAAAAATGTTCTTGAAGTATAATATCCACATAGGAAATTATACAAATAGCTGCACGACTGAAGATTACCACAATGTGAATGTGCTTGTGAATTCTGCCTCTTTTATGCTCTCTCTCTCTCAAGCCCCAGCCCCACTCCAGTAACTACTATTCTGATTATAATCCTACAGGATAAAATGTTAGCGATCTAATATTCTTGAACTCTATAAAAATGGACTCATACTGCAGATATACTTTTACATTTGGCTTCTTCCCTTCATCATGATGACTGTAAGATTCATCCATATGTGAGTAGTCATAATTTAACTTGTCTTTTAAAAAATTATTGCTGTGTGACATTCCATATACCACAATTACTTATTCATTCTTTTGATGAAGGACATTTGGGTTCTATTATGAACATTCTAGTACAAGACCTGGGATGCACACATGCTGGGTATCTGTACTTGCACTGGATTTCTGGGATACTGGTCATGCCTCTGTCTTACATTAGTAGAGACTACAAGCACTTTTGAAAGTGGCTTGACCAATTTCAACTTCTATGACAAGTATGAGATTTCCAGCTACTTCATACTGCCGCTGAAATATACTTTTAGATGCAAAATGGAGCTCACAAGTGCAAGAAATTCCTAAGGACCAGAAAGAAAACCAAAAAGGAAACTGAAGTTAGATAAAGAACTTGTTTGGATGCTGAAGGCTTTGGAAAACAGGCTTTGGACCTATTAATGGAGGCATTCTACCAGGGGACCCTTAAGTAAAGAAAATCTGCCTACAAAGGAAGCCCCTGAACCATTTGTTTCTTAGTGTCTCCTGCTTCTGCTCAAGTGGAAGGGATATTGTCATCAAAGTCTGGATTTCATGGGTATATGGTTCAGAATTTTTCTTATTGTATTTGTTTGTTTGTTTGAAACAGGGATTCACTATGTAGCCCAGGCTGGTCTTTAACTCACAATCCTACAACCTCCCCCTAAGTGTTAGGATTATAGGCGTGTGCCACCATACCCAGTTTATGGTTCAGATTTAAGAAAGCACTAAGCTAAGGAATTAACAAAAAACAATGTCAAATATATAAATTAAAGTTCTTATCAAGTAATAACTAAAACCAGTATAAAAGCAGTAAGTGAGTAATAAGATAGTTAATAAGAAACTCAGATAATATGGATTGAGACATTATCTCTAAGGGTCTTAAATAGAATAAGATCTGTAAACTTTGTAAATTCTCAAGATGACAACAGATAAAAATAATGCATTTATTATGCAAGTTGTTGCTTGTGGCAAAAGAGGGCATGAGTCAAAGCAGACCTGGATTTGAATCCTTTAATATAAATGAACACATCTACTGCTATTATTAAATCTTTTGACATTTTTCAGCTTGAATTTCCTTATGTGTGTCTCAAATATTTATCTCGTAGGATTTTTATGAGACCTAAATGAACGATGCATCCAAGACTCATATTCTTGGTATGTACTAAACCCCCAATATTTATTAGCAACTGTAATTTATTAAAATCAACTTCATCATCACCACTTAGAGAACATTTCCCAATACTCAGTTAGCTGATGAGATATTATAGCACATAACAAATATTGCTAATCTCATGATTAGCATGATGTCACTTCAAATTAAAAAGAGAAATGATAAAAGTATAAGTTTCCAATTCTGATTTAAGATTCTTTTATTTTTAACCTTCAAAGTGGGTTGTTTCTAATTTTTATTATACTCAGATAGGGCAATGGGCAATAATTTAAGCATTGAGTTTCTTTTGAAGGAAGCATGAAATGCCTGTACCCATGAGGGCAATGCATATCTACCAGGGCAAATTCTACAGCTCTGTGCTGGTTCAATGGGAAACATAAGCAGATGAAAACATTGGCCCAACTGCTACTTAACACAACAGCCATAGCAACTATCTGAGCATATGCTAAATTCCAGGTACAGTTCTGACATGTATTGCATAACAATGACAAATGCATTGTTAGGTGATTTCATGTTGTACAAACATCATAGAATGTACTTCCTTAAACAAAGATGGCTACAACATTACTAGGAAATATAATCTTATGGGACCACCATTATACATACAGTTCATTGTTGACCAAAACATTGTTATGTGGTCTGTGACTGACATCATGCTCATTTAACCTTCCAAACAACTTTGTGAGAGAGGTATGAAGCACCTCTGTGCCAGAAAGTTTCAGAGGTTTGATCTGTGGTCAGTTGACCCTGTTTTTAAGCCTT